AAAAAAAAAAAAAAAAAAAAAAGAATTAAAGGGACCTCATTCTTTGTGACTTCACTTGATAGGAGTAAATATCTAAAGTACTAATTGCCAAAGCTTCTAACCTCAGAAAGGTATAATTGCTAAATTATTATCTGATGCCATGAATCTTTCAGTCATGAGAATGTCTTGGGTTTTCCCCCTACTAAATGTGATGTTTTATTTTCCTTAAAGTTAACCTGAGTTAATAGCCCCCTTGAAAAAACTTCCATAAAAGGCTAAATGGATTATATTAAAGGTTACTTTATCTTGATTCTCACTACAAACCATCAAAGTGTTTCTCCCAAAATGTCATTCACCTATCTCACTTGCATTTAAAATATTTGGTATTTTTTCTGTTACATATTCCAGAAATTCTTTTGTTTCTATATTTGACTCTTTTTATATTTGACTTGGCTTTTAAAAGTTCACATAAATTTTGCTTTTGATACTAGCAACAATTTGATGTTAATTTTAGTAGTGATAATTTATAATATATTTAATATTTACAGAATTAAAGTCATGAGAGGCTAAATTTAATGAATTTCAAGAAAATTAACATCCTCTTAATTTTCCTTTGTTCTCTAAAAAGTACAATCCTGCAGTCTTCCTTTTTAACATCAAGTGTCAGAAGTTTATATTTACATGTAAGCCTCTGCCTTCAGTAAACAACTTTAGGTTTTACAAGTGTGAATACTTAGTTTTCAAACAGCCTGATTTTAAGCTTAAATCAGTATTAAAATCCATACACTGTCTTAAGGAATGCAAAAATGGAGCACATAAAAAGTCCACAAATTGGACGAAAATATTTGTAAGTCACTTTCCTAAAAGGGGGATAATATCCAGAATATATAAAGAACTCTTACAACCTAACAACAACAACGAAAAACCAAGCTAGCCGATTCAAAAATGGGCAAAGTTTTCAATAGACATTTCTCCAAAAAAGATATACAAATGACTGATAAGCATATTAAAAGATGCTCTACATCATCATTAGTTATTCAGGAAATGTAAATTGAAACCAAGAGATACCACTTCACACCCAATAGGATGACTATCAGATAAAGAAAGATAATAAGTGTTGGCAATGATAATGAAAAATTAGAACCCTGGTGCATTGCTGCTAGGAATATAAAATGGTACAGCTCCTGTGGAGAAAGTAGTGTGGCAGTTCCTCAAAGAGTTAAACAGAGAGTTACCATATGATCCAGCAATTCCACTTCTAGGTAGAATTCCACTTTCAAAATAATTGAAAGCAAGAACTCTAATAGATACTTACCCATTCATGTTTACATAGCATTATTTCATAATAGCCAAAAAGATGGAAGCAATCCAAGTCTTCATCAAGTAATGAATAGATGAACAAAATATGATATATGCAAACAATGGAATATTACAGTCTAGAAAGAAATCCTGACATGAATGGATCCTGAAGACATCATGTTAAATGAAATAAGCCAGACACAAAAGGACAAATCCTGTGTGATTACACTTAGAGGTGACTGGAATAGTCAGATTCATTTAGTGGGTACAGAGTTTCTGTTTAGGATGATGGAAAAAAGTCTTAGAAATGGAGAGTGCTGATGGTTGCACAACATTTCAGTTATACTTAATGCCACTGAACTGTACTCTTAAAAACAGAGAACAGTAATATCCTTTTGTCTCTAAAAATGAATGGGTCTAAGTGCCACACATTAGAGGTTGAGTCAGTGGTTCTGGAGTAGGGCTCAGGCAGCTGCATTTTTATAAGCCCTCTAGGTGATTTTGATGTACCCTCTGCTTGAGTATCACTGCTCTAACTGATGCTCAGTATGACTGGCCGTCAGGGAAATGTAAATCAAAACCAGAACAAGATACAGGCATACCTCAGCTTCTTAAGTGTTCAAGTGAAAGGAAGACTCACTTGTCATTATGTATTTACTTGCCCTTTTTTGTGCTTGTATTTCCAAATAAAGCCATTTGGCGTCAAAACATTTTTTTTAGGATAGAATGATTCAATAATAATTGTCAGTACTCTTTTGTATAGAGAACATTTTTCTGTGGATGTTTATTTGGCTAACTTATTAATATATTCTTTTTATTTTGTTCCCATTCCTCACAAAGAATAACAACTCTAACACATATCAGTACTGTAGGTAGAGGAGACTTCAGTTTTTCCCCTTTAACATTCTACACTAGCCAGTTAGGCCTAAAAGTCTTATGAAATTTTTTTATAATAGAAGATGTTTATGGTATATACAAGAGTAGTTTCCACCCACCAAAATAAAAATTGACTTTTTAATCAGCCTTTCTTGGAGAATAAATGGTAGTTGTTTAGCTTATTTTTTTTTGAAATCTCTCATTTCTTCATATTAATTTAAAAAACTCATAAGGCTTTCAGTATTGGATAGAACAGCTAGGCAGAAGATCAGCAAGGAAATAGAAGACTTGAAAAACACTTATGAATCAACTAGGCCTAACTGGCATCTGTAGAACAGTCTGTCCAATAGGAGCAGAATACACATTCCTCTCGAGTGCACATGAAACATTCTCCAAGATAGACCATATTTTAGAGCATAACACAAGCCTCATTTAATATAAAAGGATAAAATCCACACAAAATATTTTCTTTGACCGCATTAGAATGAAATTACAAACCAATAACTGAAGGAAAGTGAGAAAATTCACAAATATGTGTAAATAACATGCTCTTAAGTAACCAGTGAGTCAAAAGAAGAAAACACAAAGGAAATTAGAAAACATTTAGAGGTAAATGAAAATGAAAACATAAGATACTAAAATAGGGGATGCAGGTAAAGCAATGCTTCCAGGGAAGTTTATGGCTGTAAATGCCTATATTAAGAAAGAAGATCTCAAATTTATAACTAACTTTCTACCTTAAGAAACTAAAATAAGAGCAAACTGAACCCAAAGCAAGAAGGAAGGAGATAATGAAGACTAATCAGAAATAAATATAAAGGAGAAAAGGAAAACAGAGAAAATTATTGAAACCAAAACTTGTTTTTTTGAAATAATCAAGATAGTTGATAACTCTTTAGTTGTACTTACAAAGTAATAAATAGAGCAGATACAAATAACTAAAATCAAGAATGAAAGAGCATTACTACTGACCTTACAGAAATAAAAGAATTATAAGGGAATGCTATGAACAGTTGTATATCAAGAAATTAGATGCCTCATTTTCACAGCAATGATTTCTGTCATACACAGTGGAAATATCTCTATGAGGCAAAATAATCAGTACCAGACTTTTATGCATTTTTATTCATATTTCATATCATTACTGAATATACTCTTGTCCCTCATAGAGATAAGACATTAATTATCAGTGAATTTACATCTTTTAAACTGTGGACAGAAAAACGTTATTGCTTAAATGCTGTTTTTTAAAAAAGTCAGCTTTGGGCTTCCCTGGTGGTGCAGTGGTTAAGAATCCACCTGCCAATGCAGGGGACACGGGTTCGAGCCCCGGTCAGGGAAGGTCCAGCATGCCACGGAGCAACTAAGCCCATGTGCCACAACTACTGAGCCTGCACTTTAGACCCCATGAGCCACAACTACTGAGCCTACGTGCCACAGCTATTGGAGCCCGTGCGCCTAGAGCCCATTCTCCACAACAAGAGAAGCTGCCACAATGGAAGCCTGTGCACTGCAATGAAGAGTAGGCCCCGCTTGCCACAGCTAGAGAAAGCCTGTGTGCAGCAACGGAGACCCAATACAGCCAAAAATAAATTTGGTAAAAAAAAAAAGTCAGCTTTGTTCTTCTGTGTTTTACCCTCTTGATGATTTTGTCATATTAATGAAATGTGCATTCATTTAATTTTCACTTCATTTTCATATGAAAAATATAATTTTGTTGAAATTACTCTGGGCAAAAGAAATCTGTTTTTTTCAACAGGAAAAACGTAAGTTTTAGAAGTAGTTTTTTTTGGTGTAAGAATAATTGGAGAGAGTTGCTAAAATACTCTATACAGAGAGTGGCTTTATCTAAAGCAGAAGTTTGTAATCTAGGGTCTATGGTTAGAATCTAGGACCTGGATAAGAAAAACCTGAATAAGAAAAAAATTACGTTTTCACTAACCTCTGTCAAAAATACAGCATTTTTCCAATTATTAATATAGGCATCAAACCAAAGTAGTATTAGTGTTAATTGTTACTTCGTTACCAGTAGAAATCAGAAATATTTCTATATATTATTGTCATTACCGATATCTCAAATTTGCCTTTATCAATGCTTCAGAATTTCAGGCAGTTGTTAAAATTACTGCTATAGTTTGTTATTTAATGCATTAATAAGGTACACATACCACTACATCAAAAATTTGTTTTTAAACATCTTGATAATTTCCGTATAATGGGTTTCTTTTGTTATCCTATTTATTTTATATGTTTTGAAATTTTCTGAGAAAGAGGGCCTATAAGATTCTCTACGTGGGCAAAGGAGTCCGAGGCACAGATAAAGTTAAGGCCCTAATTTAGAAACACCTTGGATGAATTAGAGAATTCTTATGTCTTAACATTAACTCTTTTTTTCTTTTGATCAGGTGTAGGTAATAGCAGTGAAGGTGGAAGAGGAAAGGCAGGTGCAAAACTTTTCCAAGATTTTCAGATGTTAAGTAGAATCTGGACTCATCCTTGGTGTTTGCAGCTGGACTACATTAGCAAAGAAAATAAGGTAAATCAACTAACCTAAAGTTGATCAAAAGGTATCTGTTGGAAGCAGAATAACTTTGGGAAAAAGGTTGATCTGTATAGACGTACTGTATATTCAAATTTTTTTTTCTTTTTGGTACAGTAATTCAACTTATTTTATTTCTGGTTAATTACTATATGTTTGAATGCATTGTGATTATGGAAGGAGTGTTAAATGTTAATCTTTTAAAAATTTTTTATTGAAATATAGCTGATTTACAATGTTGTATTAGTTTCAGGTGTACAGCAAAATGAATCAGTTATATGTATACAGAAATCCACTCTTTTTTAGATTCTTTTACCGTATAGGTCATTACAGAGTACTGAGTAGAGTTCCCTGTGCTATGCAGCAAGTCCTTATTAGCTATCTATTTTATATATAGTAGTGTGTATATGTCAATCCCAATCTCCCAATTTATCCCTCCCCACCCTTCCCCATGGTTACCATAAGATTGTTTTCTATATCTGTAACTCTATTTCTGTTTTGTAAATAAGTTCATTTGTACCCTGTTTTTAGATTCCACATATAAGTGATATCATGCGATATATGTCCTCTAACTTTACTCAGTATGACAATCTAGGTCCGTACATGTTGCTGCAAATGGCATTGTTTCATTCTTTTTTATGGCTGAGTAATATTCCATTGTATATATGTGTCACATCTTCTTTTTCCATTCGTCTGTCGATGGATGTTTAGGTTGCTTCCATGTCCTGGCTATTGTAAATAGTGCTGCAGTAAACATTGGGATGCACGTATCTTTTTGAATTATGGTTTTCTTTGGGTATATACCCAGGAGTGGGATGGCTGGCTCATATGGTAGCTTTATTTTTAGTTTTTTAAGGAACCTCCATACTGTTCTCCATAGTGGCTGTACTAGTTTACATTCCCACCCACAGTGTAGAAGGGGGTTCCCTTTTCTCCACACCCTCTCCAGTCTTTATTGTTTGTAGATTTTTTGATGATGGCCATTCTGACTAGTGTGCGGCGATACCTCACTGTAGTTTTGATTTGCATTTCTCTAATAATTAGTGATGTTGAACATATATTCATGTGCTTTTTGACCATCTGTATGTGTTCTTTGGAGAAATGTCTATTTAGATCTTCCATGCATTTTTTGATTGGTTTGTTTGTTTTTCTGATATTGAGCTGCATGAGCTGTTTGTATATTTTGGGGATTAATCCCTTGTCAGTCTCTTCGTTTGCAAATATTTTCTCCCATTTTGTGGGTTGTCTTTCTGTTTTGTGTATGGTTTCCTGTGCTGTGCGAAAGGTTTTAAGTTTCATTAGATCCCATTTGTTTATTTTTGTTTTTATTTTCATTACTGTAGGAGGTGGGTCAAAGAAGATCTTGCTGCGATTTATGTCAGAGTGTTCTGCCTATGTTTTCCTCTAAGAATTTTTATAGTATCTGGCCTTACACTTAAGTCTTTAATCCATTTTGAGTTTATGTTTTGTGTATGGTGTTAGAGAGTGTTGTAATTTCATTCTTTTACATGTATCTGTACAGTTTTCCCAGCACTACTTATTGAAGAGGCTGTCTTTTTTCCATTGTATATTCTTGCCTCCTTTGTCATAGATTAACATCTTTCATAACCATAGTAAAATGGTCAAAACTAAGAAATTAACATTGGGTTAGTACTATTAACTAAACAATAGACGTTAATTGGATTTCATCAGTTTTTGTACTTACATACTTTTTCTTTTCCATGATTCAATCCAAGATTTCACATTTTGTTTATTATTCATATCTGTGACGTCTCCTTTATTTTTTCTAATCTATGATAGTTCTTCAGTTCTTCCTTATCTCATAACAATTAACTTATCCTTAAATGAAATAAACATTATTCTAATTTCCAGTATAAATTGATATAAGTTCTTAAAACATTCATCTTTTTTTTTTCTCTAGGGATATTTTGATGAAGACAGTATGGATGAATTTATAGCTTCAGATTCTGAAGAAACCTCCATGAGTTTAAGCTCTGATGATTATACAAAGTAAATTGAATACTTTTTGTGCCCTGTGTTGACATGTTTAAAATCCCTACTTGCTGATCATCCTCTAATAATTGGCACTTGTATCTTTCCTGTGTTTTCCTAATACTTTGAATTTGTTCTTTTTCTTTAGAAAGAAGAAAACAAAGGGGAAAAAGGGGAAAAAAGATAGTAGCTCAAGTGGAAGCGGCAGTGACAATGATGTTGAAGTGATTAAAGTCTGGAATTCAAGATCTCGAGGAGGTGGTGAAGGAAATGTGGATGAAACAGGAAACAATCCCTCAGTTTCTTTAAAGCTGGAAGAAAGTGAGTCTGATAAATGTGTTTATCATGGAGCATTGATTTAGAAAATATCATGTCATTGTAATGTCAGTGCTTTTTTCAGTTATTAATTATCCTCACTGGTTGGCTCAAAGGAATATCTTTCCTCAATTGGTAAGCATCTAGGATAATCAGATACAAGTAATAACAAATATTTGATGAATGTTGAATTACAAGCAAGCCATTGTGCTCTCTCTGGTATTTAAGAGGAAGGGAAAAAAGAAAAACTAACATTTATTTACATGTATATGCCTAAACTCTGTATTATTTTCACTCCATGTGTTAGCTAACTTAATTCTTGAGCAGCCTCGCAATGCTGTTATCTTTATTTTTATAAATGATTGGTAGAAGTGGGATTCAGACCTAGATATAGCCCATTTCAAACCCACCAGGGTAATTTCACTTAACTACTATATAAATAAGTGGAAGCATTTCAGATGATAAACTATGATTACAATTCATTTTATACAGTAAAACTAGTTTCATTGGTTTAGTCTTTTTCCTTTTTAATTCTTCATAATCTATATTTATTGTCTCTAGGTTTCCCCTGTGTCAGGTACAGTTTATCATCTGTTTCACTTTCTCTTTCTTTCTTTCTCTTGTTCATGAGTGTATACTCAATGAAAGTCTTCCATTGAACTTCCCAATGGCTAAAGTTATCTTTACTCATATCTACATTTGAAGGTTTAGTGATCAGGCTCTGTATACTCCTAGTGCAGCCTGACTGGGTGTTTAGGAACTCCAGTGCTGGGAACAGATATCTGAATATTTGAAATATCAAATATCTGAAAACAAAACAATGTAAGTAAGTCTAAATATGTGGCATTTGCGAATCATGGAGCAAAGCAGTAGAGACCATCTGAGAAGAGATGTGAATGCCAGCTAGGTGAATGATCCTGTGCACAGACAGGCTTAGCTGGTCTCAGGCCTGCAGCTGAACAAATTTGGTGATTCCTTGATAAACATTTCTCTCTTCAGTATCTCCTTGGAACAGACAGATGGCAGCCTAACCACAGACCCTGGCCAGAGATCCAGCCTGGGACCTGGCAGTGAAAGCTCTGAGTCCTAACCGCTGGATCGCCAGGGAATTCCCCTTGCAAATCACTTTCTTATAGTAAATGTAAGAAAACCTAAATAGGAAGTAGAGAGCCAAAATGTTGCACCTGGAAATTGAAATGGATATTAAATAAGTAGATGGCTATCACTGAGCTATGATTTTCATTGCATACTTCACTTTCACTTCAAAGAGTTTATGCTTAATTCTTTTGCAGTAGCTTTCTGAACTTTTTGAAAAGCCACACCTTGAATAAGTCATTTGAGTTTACCTTACAGCATCCACATCTCTGTGTTTTAGTTTAGTATCGTATTAGGACATTTTATGATGAGGAAATGACTGTATATTAACTACTTCAAAATATTTGATTTATTATTTCAGCATAAGCATGCCTTGTTTTATTGCACTTCACAGATACTGTGTTTTTCACAAATTGAAGGTTTGTGGCAACCCTGTGTTAAGCAAGTCTATCAGTACCATTTTTCCAACAGCAATTGTTCACTCCGTATCTGTGTGTCACATTTTGTAACTCTCACAATAGTTGAAACTTCTTTGTTATTATTATGTTTGTTATGGTGATCTGTGGTCAGTCATCTTTGATGTTACTATTGTAATTGTTTTGGGGAGCCATGAACTACACCCATGTTAGACAGGCAACTTAATTGATAAATTTTGTGTTGTGTGGGTTCTGACTGATCCACCAATTGGCCTTTCCCCTGTCTCTCTCCCTCTCCTCAGGCCTCCCTATCCCCTAAGACACAACAGTATTGAAATCAGGCCAATTAATAACACTACAATGGCCTCTAAGTATTCAAGTGAAAGGAAGACTTGCTTGTCTCTCACTTTAAATCAAAAGCTAGAAATGATTAAGCTTAGTGAAGAAGGCATGTCAAAAGCCAAGAGAGGCCAAAACTAGGCCTCTTTGCCGAACAGTTAGCCAAGTTGTGAATTCAAAGGAAAAGTTCTTGGAGGAAATTAAAAGTGCTATTCCAGTGAACACACAAATGATAAGAAAGTGAAACATCCTTATTTCTGATAATGGAGAAAGTTGTTGTGGTCTGGATAGAAGATCAAACCAACCACAACATTCTCTTAAGCCAAAGCCTAATCCAGAGTAAGGCTTAGCTCTCTTTAGTTGTATGAAGGCTGAGAGAGGTGGGGAAGCTGCAGAAGAAAAGTTTGAAGCTAACGGAGGTTGGTTCCATGAGGTTTAAGGAAAGAAGCCATCTCCATAACATAAAAGTGCAAGGTGAAGCAGCATGTGGTGATGTAGAAGCTACAGCAGGTCATCCAGAGGATCTAGCTAAGATATTTCATGAAGGTGGCTACACTAAACAACAGGTTTTCAGTGTAGACAAAACAGCCTTCTATTGGAAGAAGATGCCATCTAGGGCTTTCATAGCTGGAGAGGAGAAGTCGATGCCTACCTTTGAAGCTTCAAAGAACAGGCTAAGTCTCTTATTAGGAGCTAATGTAGTTGGTGACTTCAAGTTGAAGCCACTGCTCATTTACCATTTGGAAAATCCCAGGGCCCTTAAGAATTATGCTAAATCTGCTCTGCCTGTGCTCTATAAATGGAACAACAAAGCCTGGATGGCCTCACATCTGTTTACAGTATGGTTTACTGAGTATTTTAAGTTCACTGTTGAGACCGACTGGTCAGAAAAAAAAAGATTCCTTTCAAAATATTTCTGCTCATTGACAATAATTCTAAAATATTACTGCTCTTGGTCACCCAAGAGCTCTGATGGAGATGTAAAACGAGATTAATGTTGTTTTCAAGCCTGCTAACACAACATCCATTCTGCAGCCTATGGATCAAGGAGTCATTTCAACTGTCAAGTCTTATTATTTAAGAAGTACACTTTGTAAGGCTATAGCTGCCATAGACAGTGATTCCACTGATGGATCTGGGAAGAGTCAATTGAAAACCTCATGGAAAGGATTCATCATTCTAGGTATCATTAAGAACATTCATGATTCATGGGAAGAGGTCAAAATATCAACATTAACACGAGCTGGGAAGAAGTGAATTCCAGCCCTCATGGATGACTTTGAGGGGTTCAAGTCTTCAGGGTAGGAAGTCACTGCTGATGTGGTGGAAACAGCAAGAGAACTAGAATTAGAAGAGCCTGAAGATGTGACAGAATTGCTGCAATCTCATGATAAAACTTTAATGGATGAAGAGTTGCTTCTTATGGATGAGCAAAGAGAGTAGTTACTTGAGATAGAATCTGCTCCTGGCGAAGATGCTGTGAAGATGGTGGAAATGACAACAGAGGATTTAGAACATTTCATAAACTTAGTTGATAAATCCATTTCAGGATGTGAGAAGATTGACTCCCATTTTGAAAGAAATTCTACTGTGGGTAAAATGCTGTCACACAGCATTGCATGCTACAGAGAGATCATTCATGAAAGGAAGAGCCATTATCGATTCAGCAAACTTCATTGTTGTCTTATGTTAAGAAATTGCCACAGCCACCCCAGTCAGCAGCCAGCAACATGGAGGCAAGACCCCTCACCAGCAAAAAGATTATGACTTGCTTCAGCGAGACAATGCAAACATTTTTTTTAGTAATAAAGTATTTTTAAATTAAGGTATGTACATTGTTTTTTAAGACATGATGCTATTGTACACTTAATAGACTACAGAGAATAGTGTAGACCTGACTTTTATATGTAGTGGGAAACCAAAAAATTTGTTTGACTCGCTTTATTGTGATAATTCGCTTTACTGAGATGGTCTGGAGCCAAACCTGCAACATCTCTGAGGTATGCCTGTGTTTTCAGAGTAAGCTTTATCAGTGAGCATTATATTTGAAAACAAACATAGAGTGGACTTGGATAGGTTGTGGCACAGGAAGACCCTATGCTCACCTCCTCCCCTGAGCACAGTGATCTACACCTAAACACAACGCATTTCCTCTTGAAGAAGACCTGGGGGCTGAATGAACTGGTGCTGCCAATAGAAGAACCACATAGAAACTGGTAGGAAAGTCAGAGACATGGTAACCATGGGAACCCCTCCTCTTTCGCAGTGATCTACAGTAGGGAGATGGATTGCTGAGGGATCCAAATGCAGACACACTCACCCTGGGACACAGTGAAAAAACCTTAAAGGCACCTACAGTATATGTAAAGGAAATATGTTTCCTAACCCTAGAGTTTCTGCCAAAATGACAGGGAACTGTTGGAGCCCTTACCTGGGTAGGAGGCACTGGTGATCACTATTGTTTGGAGTTCCCTCCCCGGACTCCTCCTGCCCCATATCTGCTCCAGCTCCAGCCGCCCCATCAAGGCAGCCTATGGCCCAGCACTCTTTAGGGACTGCCTCTGGACCAGGTCCTCTCCAGCTCCAGCTATCCTCCTAAGGCAGCCTTGAATGCAGTACTTCCCAGGGGGCTGCCTCTGGACTGGACCCTCCTCCAGGTTCTGTGGTCCCACCAAGGCAGCCTTGGGCATAGTGGTCCCCAGGGATTAAGCCCAACTGGTGCCCACTGCAGCCCCATCTGGCCTGGCAAAGCCTCTAGGCACAAGTAGTCTACACAGGGAATGTTCCCACACAAGGCCTCTTCTTCAAGATCAGGGGAGGTAGCTGTTTCACCTAATTTATAGAAACACAAAAGAAGATCAAAGTAACGAGATAGAGGAATATGGTCCAAACAAAATAACAAAATAAAACCCCAGGAAAAAATAAACCCTAATGAAACAGATAAGTAGTTTACCTGATAAAAGAGTTCAAAGAAACAGTCATAAGGGTGCTCACCAAACTCAGGGAACGACTGGAGGAACTCAGAACTTTAACAAAGACTTAGAAAATGTAAGAAAGAATCAGAACTCAATACAGTAACTGAAATCAAAAATACACTAGAGGGAATCAGAAGCAGATGAGATGATACAGAAGGGATAAGTAATCTGGTAGATAAAA